AAGAGAGACCCTGGCACCTGCATGCCCTATTTGACCTCCTCAAGAACCTCTTTTTGAGGTTCTGACTGCATTTTGCCCCACACCTTTTAATTTATAAGCACTGCATCCATAGCCCCATGAAACTCAGGGACCTTCTGGTCAGTCTCCTCCTGGCCTAGGCCAAGCTGTCCAATTACCTGACCAGGAAGCACAAGCTAGCTAAAGAGGACCCAGGTAACTGCACAACTATCTTTCTTGCCCTTGTATGTGCATATCTCCAAGCACAGTTTTACTGGGAAGTGTTGAATGGCTCCTCGGATGTCTTTGAGCATCTGCTCAGTATCTTCCTTTAGTATCTTGGTTATTAACCTACCCTTCACTCCTGTTCCTGTTTTGTCACTTGTCGTTCCAAGGAATTAACTGTTGTGCTTTGCTAGATTTACAAGAGCTTGGCAATTGGACAGTATTTTTGGGGTAGTGATTTAAAGAAAGCCAGGCAAGCAGTTAAATCCCACTGAATTACCCCCCGCCCCCCAAAAGTTGTGTTTTTGTGTTCTTCTAGTCATTGACAGGGCCTTGTCATTCTTGGTGGGCCTAGGTCCAGAGTCACTGCCTAACAAATACACCTGTCTCACACAGTGACACAGTGTGGATGCTGAGAAAAAAGGTGAACAGGACATGTCCAGAATTGCCCAAGCCCTGCTCCTTTCAGACATGCAGCTTCCAGTATTTAGAGGTTTGGAAAGTTGGGATTTGGAGGCTGCACTCCTAGCTGTCATGTTCAACACGTACTGATGGACTTTTCCTCCCTGAATTTGACCAATCCCCTTTTGAAGTGGGTGAAACTATCAGCTTCCATAACAACTTGTGGATTATGAGTTCTCCAACTTAATTACATGCTGTATGAAATATACCGTTAGTTTTAAACCTACTATCTAATAGTCTTATATTATGTCCCTTAGTTCTAGTATTCTGGGAGATAGCAAATATGTTTCTCTTTACTTTCTCTGTGCTATTCAGTATTTTGTAAACCTTTATCACACCCACTCCAAGTACCTCTTTTTCTAAGCTGAAAAATCCAAGCTTATTTAGTCTCTCCTCATATGGAAGCCCCTCCATACGCCTGATCACCTTTGCTGCCCTTTTCTAGTTTCTAGTACAGTTTCTAGTTCTTCTGTACCTCTTCTGAGGTTGGGCGAGGGGGTGATCAAAATGGCACAGTATTCATGGTGTTGATACACCACAGATTTATAAAGGGAGGTTTGCAGGGAGGACCACAGGGGTTTGCTGGCAACTGCACATTTTTGGAAAAGCCTGACCATCACATGGGGTGCCCAGGTGGGAGCTGATCTCTCTAGAAAAAAAAATACATTAATTGTTCATTTTAAACTTCTAAAATGAAATGCCTGATGCAGCAGCATGTTACCTGGTAGAACTTCTAAGTGTCAAACACAATTTGGTCACCTTCCACTTCTATCAGCGTGGAAAATGGGTGCTCTGCTGACAGAGAATGTGGCTGACCCCCTGCTTGGGCCAACAAGTAGCTAGGCTGACTCATGGCAACATAGGAGAACCTTTGCTTAATCTTCTTCGACTGTTTCTCAGGACAGACCATTGTAAAGAAGTAAACAGAGAAGAATTGTACTTTCTTTTCTGGAATTTGAAGAGGAAGTTGAAATGCAGTATCAAGCAGGTTAAATACAGGGAAGTCAGTGACTTAGGCAATGCGTAGGGCATGTGCCCCCCCTGAAATTGGCCCTTGCTGGCCGGGGAGTGGGGCACGCCGGCTGGTGCCCACCCCAAAAAGCGCCAGCAGCACTTCTGGTTTTTCTGGCAGTGCCTGGCTGTTGGGGAACTGCCCCCCCAGTTGGCAATCAGCCGCTAGTGCCCCCCCCGCCCCGAGCCAGGAGGCACCAGTCACCCACGGTCAGCAGTCAGTAGTTAAACTACATTATTTGGATTAGATTGCTACCTAGGTGGCCCTATCTACAGCTATGCAAACTCAAGAGCAGGCCAGGCACACACTACACTACAGGCACTTCTACATGTTCATTAAAGCACAGTGGTTACTGTGCATTTAATTTACTACTTGTATAATCAAGTACTAAATAAATGTACAATAACCAGAGTTACTGCTCAGAAGTACCAGCAAACACTTTTTTAGTGATGCTACTGCGCAGTAGCCTAATAATACTGCACAGTAGTATATTAGCACTGGCTATGCTGTGATGCGCTACTGCGCAGTATTAGGCTACTGTGTAGTTAGCGTCTCACATAGACGCGCCCTATGACTTGCAGGTCTCTCCTTGGCTCCTACCTTGATGCCAGAATAAAGTTTTCTGCTAGTGCACATGGCCAACAGCAGATAACTACCCTCCAGAGTGGCTCATTCTTGCTGACATAGGACATACGGGGTGGTATCAAAGCTCTAGCTGTGCTCCCCATCTACTTCCCGACTCCTCATCCCTTATTGCCCTAAACATGTTCCAAGGGAAAAACACTCATATTATTACCAAATCATACTGCCAGTTCTAAGATTCATGTGAATGCCTGGAAGAAAGGTCTGCTTTTTGCCTCCAAGGTGGTTCACTCACATAGAAACTGGGAAGTGAGATTTTTGCAGGATAAGCACAAAAGCTACTTCTTGGTTCTAAAATAAACCATGCAGTCATTTCACTCTGTTCTGCAAAAAGAAAACAAATAGTTTGTATGTGGATAATGACCAGAACTTTCCCTCAGAAGTGGGCAAGAAAGTCCCCAAAGTCTAGAAAAAAGGTGCTGGTCTGGTTTTGCAATAAACATTGTAAGTTTTGTTTTACAAGACATGCCTTGAACATATCCTGCTTTCAGCACCAGCGGCCACCATAATCACTTCCTCTATGCTACTGGAATTTTAGGCATATGCATGCTTCAGATCCCTGGAAGGAGGAGGAGCTAGTATTAATATGAATGATTTTTGCTCAGGGCCCCACTGTTTTAGGCATGGTACTTCAATATAGTAAGAAATAAGAGAGGTGGTTCTTGTCCCGAAGAGTTTAAAGGGAAAGGTAGGCAGGGAGGTATCTTATTCAGATTTATAGCAAGTCAGGCTGCCCTTCTCACCCTGTGCAGTGGCTATTTATGCATACATGGGACAATGAATTTGAAAACCTATTGCCAAAGAGTTCCCTGGGTAGACATTTTTATTCCAGAACAAGAACACCTTTTTACTATTTGGCTTAAGGAGATAAAATCAGAAAGAAGCAGTCTTCTTCTGGAATCAGAATGCCAATAAAAGAAGCTATTCCAGAACAGTTGTTTTGGAACATCTTATTCTGCAGTAGCTGTTCCAATCAATTTCCCTACGCAGACAAGCCCTTTGTCACTAGCCAAATGGTCATGAGCACAGACTCTGGAATAGCTGTATGCACAAAACTTCAGCTCCCTGGACCCCTGTTTCAAGCATCTGATTTTAGGATGTAAGCAAAATAGGGAAAGAACAAGCAGGAATAAAGGACAGCTGTGCACCATTCAGGAAGTACTGTGTACTGTGTATTGACCATCTTTGCACTGTAATGCAAAAAAACAGCCTTAGGTAAATGTATTCTCTTGTGAGCAAAGGCCTTTGCTGGTAAATCTGAAACTGTAGGCAGAAACAGTTTATCACCACAATCAAAATGTATCTGTTGTAGTAGATGGTAAGCAGGACATTCATACTAGAGTCTGAATGTCCTCTCCATGCTGAGAGGTAGGCAGTTTTAGTCATAATAAAAAACAATCCCTCTTAAAAAAGGAGGGAATGAGCAGTGAGCTTGAAGATACTACAATACCAAGCCAGCATTCAGAAAGGCTAGAGCAAGCTCTGGCACTCTCCTCTGGTGTAAAAACGCTGATGGGAACCTAATCACATTTTTTTTTAAATTTCATGTCTGAGGCCACAGCGGCCAAATCAGTTCTGAATTCCATCAAACAAGCAGAGCCCAGTCATTCAGGTCTGTGTGGTTCTAACACCAACAAATAAATATCCTGCATCCCAGACTCGTCAGTCTGGGGCTTCAGATACTCCCCAATCTATGGCAAGCATCCTACGTGCAAGCCAGAAGCCTGGAGGCCTTGGGGTTCAGAGACCCCCTAATATCACTTGCCCCTAGCCAAAAGGCCAAAGGAGCAAGCTAGAGGGAAAACCCAAGAGCAATCCCCCAGTGCCATATAATGTGTAGCACTGGGAGGCTATAGTAGACTCTTGTAGGGGTACCTGCTTTCAGTACATCAGACAGGTCTCCATCCTCAACTACACCAAGTTATTCAAGGCTGGGAAGAAGGACATCACCCTTTCCTGGTGCAGTAAACCCCCCTGCACCAACACCATCATCATGGTGTCTCCCCTGCCACGATGAAGTTGTGGTGAGCCACATAAAATATATTTCAACTTCCTCTTTGCTCTGTGATGACTGTAGGTATTATAGGGCTCGTTGCCACTGCCAAGAGCTCATTTACCCACAGGCAGTGACAGGTTGGACCTCAACCTCAGATCACATGGTCTGCCAGGAACTTGATTTTATGTTTTTATTTTCTGCTGTGACTTTGATGACACTATATTACTAGGAGGCAATACCCTGAGGTGATCCTTCAGGTCTCAATATCTGTTTTCTTCTGTGGGGCTCCAACTTCCCTTTTACCCCACCCTAGCCACTCCAGATGGAATTCAAAGTTCTCTGCAGCTGGATTTTGATGCTGCCTGATGGTTTAATGCTCAGCCCTCGACCACCTGGATGACTGTAGTCTTAGTCCAGCACCCACCCCCTCCAGGGGATTGCCTTAGCGTGGGCTCAAATACTCCAAATGCAATGGTTTTCAGTTTCTCGTTGGGGTCAGTCTATGTCCCCTTCACCTGGGGATCCATCTCTCATATCAAAAAGAACAAAGCCAGTCAATCCAATCGCTGCTCAGCACAGATCTGCTCTGGTCTACTAGTGAACACACACAGTCCCAGTAGGACCTCTCTCCCAAGCACAGCAAAGCCACACCAGGGAGGCTCTAACCTGAGAAATGCAGTCTTCCTCCCGAGATCCTCAGCCGTCACTCTGCTCCATGACTTATCAGAATCCTTGTGTAGGCAAGCCTCCACCTACCTCCTTCTTTTGGTCACTCCAGCAGCATTTCTCTGGCAGGATCAGCAATACCTGCTTTCAGGAGCTCAGCCATTCCTCTCAGCGGCTTGCAGGAAATCGACCCCTTCTGCCCTTCTCCGGGGCCAGAAATACCTCCTGGCAGCTTCCCTTCTCCAATCCAGAGTGAGAGGCTTCTCTGTAAGTGTTGTTGCGATCGCTTCTCTTCTCCTCCAGTCTCCACCTTCAGCCTCACCATCTGCGCACACTGTGAGTTCTGTTTACTTTCACTTCCCCTCTCTGCCGGCTGCTCTTCCGCCCTTAGTCTCCCCTTCCTGGCACATAAGGCACCCTGGGGGTTCTGTTTACCGCCTCTCACTCCTTCGCACACTCCTACAGCTGCTCTCGCCCTTTCTTTCCCTTTTCCAATTATTCCTCTTTTTTAAAAGTCTTAAATATTTGGCAAACATCACTGAACAAGACCCCAAACAGATTACGTAGAATCCCTCTGTTGCCTCCTCTCTCAGCCTGTCGCATATGATTAATGTAGCTCCACCCTCCATGCGATGGAGCCAAACCAGTTTGCCTTGCACCTCAAGTGCATATACATTTTTGGAGAATCCCAGGAATCATCACAAGAACACCTTGTTCCAGTCATGAATGGGGGAGCTAATTAGCACATGGACCTTTTGTGGCAGGGGTTGGTATCTGGAGTACACACATATACTGAACAGTGCTGAGCTGTCAGGTCAGCATGACTTGAAACTCTGCTGTCTCTGGTGGGGCCCAGCCCAATGAGGTGTGTGCTAAATTGTAAGTTTTTTGGTTTTGGGTTAATGGGTGTTGGTGGGTATGTGCACTGTTCAACATGTACCTGTGGCCTATGGAACTGCCATAGTTCTATGAGGTCCTGAAGGAGATACGGGCTATGCTGTAAGGCTCTGGTGACTATAACAAAACCACTTCAAGATACAGTAGGTAGTAAGGGCAAGGGACAGACTGTTGCCCATGGACATACATACCTAGTGAATCTTCCACAAGGATCTGCAGAAGGAGCACAGGGATGTGAACTGGCAGGTAGGTCACTGAGCGCTCCCCGTATGGGTAAGACACAAAGAGGGACAGAGAGGCCCATTGAACTGCCCCAGGCAAACTCATCAGTAGAAGGAGGAAACAACTGACCACCTCCTCTAGAACTGCCCATACACTGGGGGAGGATGGTAGAGAGTAATCATATTCCTCATGATAGTGACAGGGGTCGAGACCCTAACCAGAGAGGTGGTGTTTTTTGGCCACCTGACCAAGCAGCAAGGGACCCCAGCAGCCTGCTTCGACCTGTTCATCTTCTGCTTCAGGAATTCCCTATGGAAGACCAGGAATACGCTTATGCACAGATACACGAACCTCCCAGGACTGCAACAGAATGGGAGGGAGTGAGATGCGTTGTACTACAGAAAGGCGGTAGAAGACAGTGGGGAGAAGATGGAGGACAAATGGAAGAGAAAAGACTGGCACAAACTGTTCAAAAACAAAACCACTGGAGAGAATGATGACAATAATGATAACAACAACAAGTGAAAGGACTGGGGCAAGAAACAGAAGAGTTGGGAGGAAGGTGTGGGGTGGGGGAAGGGGAAGGGAATGGGCAATGAGTGAGTGTGATTGCGGTATTGTAACAGGGATGATGATGATGATGATAAACTGTGTGTGTGTTATGCCCTGCTGCTTCCCCTCACTCCTGACCCACAGTACCCTGCATCCTGCCAGGGTGTGTGGGGGCCCCCCACTCTCTAGGCTCCAACCCACCCCCACAGCCCCCCACACCTTCACAAATAACCACCCTATACATACACACAATTCAAAAATAGCGTTTCATGATTTACACTCCAAATCTCTTGATTTTTAAGAGTTTGTCTCATGATTTCACATGGTGAGGTTGGCAGTACTGCTATAGGTACCTGTACTCAGTTCCCTATATGCAAGTTACTATGGATATGTTTACTTCTTGGGCAGTGTTTTCAAAGTTGCTTCTTTGTTTGCTCAAGGAGACCAGGTCTTATAGTTTGGGGGAGGGGGGGGAAGAGGGGCTGCAGGGTGAAGAAGTTGGGGAGGGGGTGCTCTCTGATCCTCCAGATTTATTTTCCCTGCTGTAGCAGTGGAACGGGGACAAATTCAAGACAAACCTCCAAAAATTAGATTCTGTATTTGGAAAATTATAACAAAAGGATAAGTTGGCCATATACAGAATCTAATTATTAGGGGGTCGTCTTATAATCCGGGTCATCTTATATTTGAGTAAGTATGGTATATATGTTACTCCACAAACATGTGCACACACACCCCACTTTAGGACCAGGAAAACAACAGCGTTTTGCCATTTGGTGAAGGTTTACAGTTCTTTCCTCTGCCCTACCAGCCAGTGCTTGTTCAAACACTGTGCCTATATGATAGCCCATAGATCATGCATGAAACTATTTTCCCAGTGACTATAGGAGGAGAGGCTGGATGAACTAGTAAACCAAGCTGCAAAGCCACCACAGATGCAGATTATTCTTATCGGTATTATCATTAACAGCATATGCTGTGCACTTTACCAGGCAGTCAAAATGGTTGTTAATTTCGTATGTGATCCATGACTTAAATGGTACATGCTGCCCCCCGGGGGATGTTTTAGCGACCTTCTTCTCCTTTGGGAGGGCTGCCGGAGAACATAATGTGACCCTGAAAGTGGCAACTGATAGGGATTAATGGCAGTTATCTTGGGGATGAGAAGAAGGGGCACTGGTTAAATTGATCCTTCCCTCCCTGCAGGCTTGGCAGATGCCAACAGCTGCCTTATATGGATGTCATACAGGCTCTGTTCGTTCACTGCGGCTGTACCAGAGACTCTAAATATATACAGTAATCCAGTCTTTCCAGAGTCCACTGTTTCCTTCCATTTTTTCCTCCCTGTTCCCAAGGACAGTCTAACCACCACCCATTTCTCCTTGTTTCTACCACCCTTCTAGCAGGCACTAAACACCCAGCACAATTTGTTTCCTCCCTCCCAATCTTGCACCATGGCCAGGGCTAACACCAGCTCCTTTCCAAACTCTCTCTATATTGGTTCAAAGAGAACAGATCTGCACTGTCATTAAGTTTCCTACTCCTCGTTTATTGTTTTTCTCCCCCAAAGGGACTGTGCAGGACAAAAACATGCATTCCTCCGGATGGGGCCTTTCATCCAAGGGCTCTCAAAGCCCCCTTGGTATACAAAGCCTCCTCAAACCGCTTACAGAAAACAGATGAAATCAAGCCAGCTTTGATAGCAAAAGCCAACGTTAAACGCCAGCAGAGAAACCAGGTGAACAATAGAGTATACAGAGAATTACCCTTTTCCTATCAGCACCAGTTCTCCTGGGACCCAAGCAGCCCATCATTCCTGCGTGGCTTCTCTTCCTTTCCCAGTGCTCCTTGAAATTGCAAGGTTTCACCATCCTGGCTCCTTGCCTCCATTAGGGAAAATCCTGGCAGCTCTGCTTGTTGCTCACTTCTCTCCTGCAGTTTCCCTCCTCCCCCTCCACGAGGGTGGGATTAAAGGCATCTAAGCTCAAGCACGTGACCACACAAACCAGAGATGCTCAGAGCCAGCGGAAACAGGCAGGCGGAGAGAGGGAGTGACTGACCAGGAATACAAGAGAGAGAGCAAAAAACAGAACAAAGGTTACTCTAGCCCTGTGTGCTGAGCTGTTAGCATAGCTGAATCCCCTGGTTTGTGCTGTGATTCACAATTGTTTCACTAGGGACTAACACATTGTTAACCCCTTCACTGCTGGAGTGTGTGTCAATTCCCTGTTCTGGCAGAAATACCAGAGGCTATACCCAACCCTTTCGCTTTCTTCCTACCTTCGCTATTTTACATGTAAGTTGACCATTCCCCAGGTATGTTGAAAAGCTCCTTCCTCCACCTTGCTTTTCAGAATAGTGTCCTGCCTCATTTTAACACCAGGGGCCTCACCCAGTCTTGCCACCTTCTTCAGGAGCCCCCTTTCCTTCCCTTCTAGAAAAATCACTTATGTATTCTCCGGGGCAAAACTGCTGCCTCATCTATAGTCTCTTTGTCCATTAGGAGATCTGGAAATGAATGCTCGGGGCCTGAACCAACGCCAACTGACATAAATAGAGAGACAAGTCATCAGATCCTTCCCCACCTCCCTTTGTTCCTTATGTGTATTTAATCTTTCTCATGTTCTTATGAGTTAGGTGAATAACTATTCAGATAATTAAACACAGATGTCATTTTAATCCCATGGCCTTATTACTTAATTCTGCAAATAATATTCTATTTTGCCGTGTTTCATGTGCTCCTCTAATTCTCTCACTCTGCGGACATGTCTGCAGAGTGTTTGAGTTCCTGCAAAACAAATGAGGCAGCTCAGGTATTTGGGTACATGTTTCTTCATGATACTTTTCAGCCTCTGTTGCTAGGAGAATTCTGTCACCTTTAGTGTACCCCACCTTTAGTACATATTATACACTTTGTACAATGTTGTTTCATGCAGTTACGGTTTTGTGACAATCAGAAAGCTGTAGCGTGATGCATTCAAATACAGTATTTTTTGTATTCACCTCCATTTACACTGTTCAAACCATTGGGTAATTAGGCAGGGGTAACTATATTACGCAAGCACGAAATCATCATTTACTAGGTATTTAAAAAATTTGAAAGCCTGGAACATGGATATATTGCTAACGCCAGTGAAGCAACTGTAATCTTTCATGGGAAAAATGCAATTAAACAACTTTGTGTTCTGCTTTCTTCACTTGTTCTCCCAGAGAAAGGTGAGGTTGCCAGGAGCAATCTGCAGGGGTGCTTAGGTATTTGCTACATTGTTATTTGCCTTATTTACCCATAAGTCAAATGGGTAGAGCACAAAATGTAGGATTCGCCCTGCCTTCACTGCAGTGGCGCTCAAGCTTTTTAGACTCACGGCACCCTACCTTAAATGGAAGACATACCTCTGAATGCCAGCTCTTCATTTTAATTTGTTTTTGACTACAGACATACAATAAAGCAGTTCTTTTATTGTGAAGAACTGAGAAGGGCCAGGACAGGTCAGAATGGTTTTTGACACTATAGTTCCTATTTGAAATCTCTTGGTTTATTTTGTGAATCAAGAGTAGATGTTTTCCTACCTAACAATGCTAATATTGCGCAGCACCCTATGGCACCCTTAAAAGGGTATCATGGCACTGAGGGAACTGTATCACGCTGGCTGAGGATCACAGCTTTAGTGATGTTGATCCATGTTCAGATGAAATACTCAGATTCCTAGGCCCTCAAATACCCCAATGGTGGGAACAAACAAATGGAGAAAAGGAAGCTCTTTCCTTTGAGGGTTCATGTTTATGGCCAAGATTTCATAACCACCTGGCCATGTTGGGGTGCTTCAGCTTCTGGGCACCTGAGATGACACACCTTAAGTGCTGTACCCTATACTATCTGAAAAATGCCCACCAAGGAAACTGGGCCCCTTTAAAGTGCCTTAAGCCCACAAAATAGTGAGGCTCAAAAATCATGAGTTGTTTTTGAAAATCTTGAACAATTGGATGATGAAATACCATATTTAAACAAATCCAAGACAACTTTAAATATCCCATGGGGAAACATCTGGAGAGGCTGGATGTATACAAGTCAGCAGGACCAAATGAACTATACCACAGAGTGCTGAAAAAATTGGTTGACATCATTGCGTGACATATGGCAAAGCTATTTGAGGACTCATGGTGCTCAGGAGAGGTCCCAGAACACTGGAAGAGGGCCAATGTGGTGCCTATCTTCAGGAAAGGGAGAAGGAAGGACGCAGGGAATTACAGGCCAATCGGTTTGACCTCCATCCCTGGAAAAATCCTGGGAAAAATGATCAAATAATCCATTATTGATAAGCTAACTGAAGGCACTATTCTAAACAACAGCCAACATGGCTTCATTGTGGGCACGTCATGCCTGACCAACCTCATTTCCTTCTATGACCAGATAACTCACCACCTGGATAAGGGAAATGAGGCTGATGTCATATACTTGGATTTCAGAAAGGCCTTTGACTTAGTCTCCCGCGATGTCCTCATGGTAGAATTGGGAAAATGCAGTCTTAACTACTTTATGCTCCGGTGGCTAGCTAACTGACTCCAAGGTAGGACCCAGAGAGTATTAATGAATGGAACTAAGTCAACATGGTGGAAGGTGACCAGTGGCATCACTCAAAATTCAGTACTAGGACCAGTGCTTTACAACATGTTCATCAATGATTTAGAGTCCGGTGTTAAAAGCATACTGGCAAACGTACTGACACCAAATTATGGGGAAGTGTGGTCATGCTGGAGGACAGGCTGGGGATACAGGCTGACCTGGACAGGCTTGCAAGGTGGGCAGGTCCAAACCTGATGATGTTTAACTCAGAGAAATGTAAAGTGCTCCATCTGGGGAGAAATAATCTGCAACACACTTACAGGCTCGGTGGTGCAACACTTGCCAGCACCACAGCTGAAAGAGACCTGGGGGTTGTGACAGACCACACGATGAACATGAGCCACCGGTGTGATGCTGTAGCTGGCAGAGTAAACAAAACACTGGCATGCATCTACCAATGCATCTTAAGGAAGACTAAGGATGTCATCTTCCTGCTCTACTCTGCCT